ATAATTCTGGATTTAAGGACGTTAGCTATCCAGCGACATGTGGTTTGATCAACCCCTATGCGCCGGACGCATTTGTCTATTAGAGATTGTTCTGTGTTGTCGAAAGCGCCCTCCACATCCAAGAAACAACCCACCGCCACCTCTTTGTCCTCCAGGGACTTTCCAATTTTCCTTGTTAGATTCTGAAGAGCGTGGATGGTAGATCTTCCTGGAAGATAGGCATATTGGTGTCTGTGCAAAGGGTTCCTGGCAAGGAAACTATCCCTGATATGCCTGTCTACGATTCTTTCCATTGTTTTTAGTAGGAAGGACGTAAGACTAATGGGTCGGTATGACTTTGGTTGGTCTGCTGGTTTTCCCCCCACCTTTGGGATGTAGCGGACCGTCACTTCCTGCCATTGTAGTGGAAGAGACCCCCACGCGAAACATGCTCTGAAAATTGGTATCAGGAAGGGTAGTAGGCGGGGCAGTCCCTTTTGGAGATGAGCTGGGAAATTGCCATTTTTTCCAGGTGCTTAAAAAGGCGCTGAGGCAGATATAGCCCATCTTATCCTCTGCGCGTGGGCGTTTTATCCCAGTCTGCGTGAGGATTGTACTGTTTGTGTTCAGTGGCAAACAGTCAGGAAAATGCGAGGGATTCCATGCAGATGTTCGTGAAGGATCCATCGAGTCTTTTAAGGAGCCCTAACTCATTAGTGTGCGTCTTTGCGAGGACTCTGTGGATTCTTGCGCTTCCCGTAAGGTCCTTGATCCCTGTACAGAAAAGAGACCATGAGTTCCTCTTAGCACATCTAATCTCTTTATTGTACTCGGTGAGGGCAATTTTATACGTTTCCCATTCACCAGTTCGTTTAGCTCTGTTAAAGAGCTTCCGGGTATTTGCCCTAAGTTTGGCCAATTTGTTATTCCACCATGGAGTCTGTCTGTTGTTAAGCCTAGTGACTTCTGGACAGGATTCATGATAAGAATTCACAATGGCTGATGTCAGATCTGAGCAGCTAAGTTCAAGATAGACTAAGTCATTTACCATTCGCTTGCACCTTTTCAGACCGTCCTGCAGAAGAGCATCGTATAGATTCCAATCTGTGGTTCTTGGTCTTCTGTAGGTGGTAGCAGTTGGTAATGTGATTTCAATTTCAAAACGGATGTGCATGTGATCTGATAAAGAAATTTCTCTGGCCACGTTCCATTTTTTCACGAAATTACTGATAAAAGGAGTGGATAGAGTGAGATCTAGAACCTCTTCCCGTATACTGTTCCTGAAAGTGGGGGAGTTACCTACGTTTAACATTTCTAACATATTAAGGCTAGTAAATTCAAGTAAGTACTCACCTCTTTGATTTATGTTACTGCTGCCCCATATGGTATTGTGGGCGTTAGCGTCACATCCCACGATGAGTTGCAGTTTCTGTCTGCCACAATAGTCCACTAGTACCTGTAGTGGCAGAAACTCGTAATCTCTGGAGCGCCGGGGAGGTACGCTTAGCAAATGATTGGCTCTTGCGTGTTTTCTCCGAGAGATAGGCTCACCTTCACTGCAATCTGGTCCTTATTGGTAAATTCTGGAATGAGAAAGGCGTTGATATGATTAGCTATCATCAGGCAGGCTCTAGGTCGTTCTTCGTTGAAGGAGTCATAGAATAGCTTACCTGGTAGTCCCTTTATCTGGTTCCCATAAAAGTACGGCTCCTGGATAAAGGCGATGTCAAGGTGATCCTCATAAAACGTCTGTGCCAGGACCGCTGAAGCCGACTTGGCATGTTGTAAGTTTATTTGGATGCACCTTACTACCATATTAATTTTTCGAGTCGTCCGGCTGGTTACTCGTCCTCATCCACTTCGGGAGCTTCGTCCCATGAAAGCGGCGAGTCGAGTGTGGACCCTTGCCAGTGTTGGTTGGGCGGGCATGGGAAATGTTACCTTTACCTGCCTTGGGTGTACGTGTCGACGCCAATTTAGTAAAGCGGGCATGGGGGGTGTTGCCTTTGCCTGCCTTTGGTGGCTGAGACACCTCCAGTCGCGCTCTCGCCACTGACGCCAGCCTGATCAGCGCTATCGCCAGCCTGACCTGTTCCGCACGTTCCCGAGACGGAGCACCGTGCACTTCCGTGCAGTGGGTCTTGCGAGCTGCCTGGGCTGCTGCTCCTTGGCTGTCTCTGTGCGATAGGTGACTTGCTGTCGCCCCGTCCCCCTTTATGCGTAGGGAGATCTGACCAAAGTTGAGGAAGAGTTTTCCACCCTGCTCCGCAATCCTCTCCTTTGACTTCTTGTCCACGGAGAAAGTTACCGTCTCTCCCCCCTTTATCATCCTTGAGAGACTTAAGAAAGCGCCAACCCGCAAAGTTTATGCCAACGTTTTGTGTGGCTAGGCGCTTCATAAGATGGTCCGCCGGTATAACGTCATCAGGTGGCACGTAAGCAACGCAGACAAAGGTCTTGGGAATATCATTGCCCTGTGACACCTTCAGATCTGCGTCTGGGAACGGCTTTAGCCCAGCTGTCACAGCAGCGAGCCAATCTCCTGTCTCCTTGTTGTGGCAAGTGAGCGAAAGCCAACCGTCGCGTACCACACTGCTGATGAAGCCAAGACTCGCGGTGAGGTTTTTTGGCTTTGTCCATCTCTGCCAGAAGACTTCTTTTTATGAGCGAGATTTCCTCCTCGCTTAGCTTAGCATCCGGGTGTTTGGCATTAGTAATGGCTACCTTGCATGCCGCCGTGATTTCTCTGTAGGACACCTGCTTAAGCATGTCGGGTTCATTTTTTCTGAACACCTGGATTCGTAACCGCTTCCACTGGAGAAGTGGTTGTATGGGAGGCCTTATCCTTCTTGGCTGACTGCCGAAGGTTGTTGGGCGAGTAGCTGGTTCCCCTGCTTCGCTTCGAGGAGCTAGGTCCCTCTTTTGTCGGCCCTTAGCTCCTTGACCTTCTTGTAGCGCTCTCTCTCTACGCTTCTGGGTTTCGGTGAAGTGCTTGAACTTCTTCCGGTTTTCCGCTGTTCCTTCAGCACTAGTGTTCGTAGACGCCTGAGTGCCAGGATCCTGGCTATCGCCCTCCGTGATTGGTTCGAGTCCCTGATCACCTGGCGCAGAAGTGGTGGTAGAACCAGGTGAGTTTAACCTGAGTGAGGCATTAAGTCTCTGCTCAAGGTCATTCTCAGACCTAGTGGGTGAACGGAGTAGAGAAAGTTCCTCTGACTCCGTTATGGTTTTTTTTTATTTTCAATTATAATTTCATCCATAAAGTTTTTTTGAAATGGGAAGAAGGTGTCGGTACGCCACCCCAGTGCTCCCTTGTGATGGTAAGGCTGGTTACGACGTGAGGGCGCCCGGTATCACAAAGGAAATGCGCTTGCAATGCCCATGTTTCAGTTCCCAGCACCATTCAACCATCGGCACGCTTTCAATTACCTTAGTTTGGGAACGGGTACAAACGGGTTTCACCGAGGGAATTCTTCCCGTCATTCTCAAGCTGCCCGTTGTGCCACGCCTCCTCTTTTCTCAAACCGGGCTTGGGACCGTCTATGGCAGAGTTCAATCAGAGTTCAATCGTTATTAGTTAGGGCATAAGTATGACCCTTCTTTAGGAATAAGATTCCACCTGCCTAATTGATGGATTATATCTTCAGTTAAGTTTGGTGTTTTACCACAATTAAACATTTTATAAATTTTTTTTAAATTATAATTTGCTTCCATTTTGCACTTTTACACCTTTATTACACCTTTAGTAAGTAAAGAATGTTTTTTTTTTTCAAAAAATATATATTTTTTTCTATAAAATGTTTTTTCTCAAAATTTATCCACATAAAGTATATTAATATGTACATTAAAAAAGGGATTTTATTTACCTTCCCAACGATACCAAGTTTTTTAAATTCGGTCAGGAGTTTTTTGAAATATAGCCATTTTTAATTTTCGAAATTCCCCCTTTACCTCTCCATATCACCGAAAATATAAGTTTACACGAAAAAATTTGTATACCAGTAAAATCAGGAAAAAAAGGACGGACCACGCCCACGCCACGGCCACCCTAACGGGCCGTATTATGCACTTGTTCCTCAATTTATTAGATACAATAGGAAAACATTCAAATTTCTTTTTACTAATATATTCCCACTTCTCTTGATGTCTTCATCACTGTTTCTGGCTTTACGAAGACAGTTTAGTGTCTGGATGACTACTTTCCGCAAACAATGTGTAATATTCTCATTCTTGTCTTGTGTCGCGGGGTTATAGAACTGTCTGCAGTGACGGACTTACGTGCAGTGTTGCCGCCGCTCAAAGAACTTTCTAACCAAGATTAGACGAAAAAGTTACCAAATGTAAGGAAAAATAACCATTTTTTTTATTAGATTAACAATGCAGGTCATCACAAAATCTTTTATAT